CTTCCTTTTGAGCCTCCTCACGCTCTCGCTCCAGTTCTTCCCTGTCCAATTTCCTCTAAGGGTGCAATAAAACAAACATTTGACAGCTCCCACAACTGCAGGGCCTTTTAGAAAAATCAGGTTTTGTGGGTGGAAGTAGAGAGAACAGAAGGCCAGTCCTGCATACCAAGAGAGGGAAGAACAATGGAAAGAGAGGAGCAGGCAAGCCTTCCATTTTAGTTTCCAAGTGCCACCGGTTTCCCAAAAACTGAACACACATATGGCAAAAGGAGGGAGCCCCATCAGGCCTTCAAAAGGAGTTTGAAGGCAGTTCCCCTTGGACTTTTTTTCTCTATGTCTGACACCCTCAAAACACAGAGAATAAGAAGCAAAGAACATCATTTAATGTTGGCTCTGCCTGGAGCCTGAGTAGCAAAATTCCCTTTTCTTCACTGCGTGTGAGACTGAAATAAAATTGTGTTACGCCCTCTCATCTCACCTACAATGTATTTATGGTATGGGAAGGCGGGAGGGAGGGAGGGAAGAAAGGAGGAAGAAAAGAAGGAAGAAGAGAAAGAAAGAAAGAAAGAAAGAAAGAAAGAAAGAAAGAAAGAAAGAAAGAAAGAAAGAAAGAAAAGAAAGAGAGGGAGGGAGGGAGGAAAGGAGAGAATAGAAAGAAGAGGGAAGGGAAAATAAAGGAAGGATGAAAGGAGGAAGGAAAGATGAAGGGAAGAAAAGATGAAGAGAAGAGAAGAGGAAATAGAGGAGGAAGGAAAGGAGGAAGGAACAAGATGAAGAGAACGGAAAGCTGAAAAGAAAGGAAGGGAAGGTGAAACAAAGATGAAAGGAGGAAGGAAAGGTTGAAGGGAAGGGGACAAAGTTCTTTCTATGAGGGAGAACTGAAATGCCATCGCAATCCTTTCCCCCTTGAAAGATCTCAAGCCCAGGAGCTCACAGGCCTGGTGAAGCAGGAACTCCAGCTAATGGGACATCTGACTGTCCATGTTAAAGAACAAAAACTAAGTTCAGTACTTGAAAGAACGAGAAATACAGAGTCGGCTCTCAAAAACTGCCCACCCTATGAAATGGCAGAAATCCCAAGGTGCCTTCAAAATGGTGCAGAACCCCAAGCAGGAGATGAGAAGCCGAAAGCCCACCTGCAGTTCTTCAATCATGTTCTTCTTGTACTTGTAAATCCAGTGGGCCAGGTACAGGATAGGATCTGAGGGCCGATGCTCCGCAATTTCAGCAAGGCCTCCGGCTAAACAAGTGCCCAGGCTTTTTCTCAGGTAGGCGCTCTCCATGGTTGGTTCCCGAGTTTCTCTAGGTTAGAGAGATCTATTTAAAAAAAAACACCCAAGTTGAATAATAAATCAATGTGTACTGTACATGACTTGGTGTTTCCATTACCAATTATTATAAGTTGTTTTGCTGAGCCTCTGATCAAACACCATGGAGAAGAAGGAAGAGGAGGAGGAAGAGGAACAGGAGGAGGAGGAGGAGAAGAAGAGGAAGAAGAGGAGGAGGAGAAGTGGAAACAGAAGAAGCAGCAGAAGAGGGGGAAGAGAAGGAGGAGGAGGAGGAGAGGAAGAGGAAGGAGGAGGAGAAGAAGAGGAGAGGGAGGGGGAAGGAGAAGGAGGAGGAGGCAAAGAAGAAGAAATCGTTATTATAAATAAAAAGAGGACTTTGAAATGAAGCCAAGATAGAAAACTTTTACCCTTTCAGAAATCAGAATTGGAGAGCCCGCCTACAGTTGGGACTCCCCAACAGAATCTGGAATCCTGTTCAAACGGAAAACAAGCTAACTGCTACTTGAGCTCTGCTTAAGAGCATGGAAGGGCTACATACCTCCCAAAACCAGATCCACATTAGTTTGAAAAAGGAGCTTTATCCATTCAAAAACAAATCACAGAACATGTTCTTCTTGCTACTCTCTTCCAGGCCTTGGGAGAAGCTTTGTGTGGAGAGCTAAGGATGAAGATGCTCCTTCTTGTATCTTAGCAACGGAGCAATGCTGAATCTCTCTAGACACGCTCTATCTGATTTTGACCAGATATTATGCCTTGTGCCAGCAAGGGTGTGTGTGTGTGTGTGTGTGTGTGTGTGTGTGATATGTACCATACCTATGTGTTTATATTACATTTTTGCTGTGTTAATCTCAAATCAGATCTTTGCGCAGATCGAGGGGAAGACTATGGATGCTCACAGCTGAATTCACTACATGACTGATCATAAATTATTGCCTCCGTAAATTAATACAGGGTCATTTTTAAAGGCTACTTGTGATGAGAAGGAAAAATTGCTGGCTTCTTTTATGGATAATGATGTTATCAATATTCTTTGTCTGTGCATGTTTTTACCAATGTGATCAGGCAAGAAATTCATCCAAAATAAAGATGTCAACATTCACTCTTAATAATTATTGTTTGTACCCAAAATGGGTCCTAGCCTGGCATCAAAACCAATAAAGACACAAGGAATGGTATTTTCGGCTTCTTTCATTGGAATATTCTAGCAAAAGGGTCTCAGCAGCTATAGAAGCCAAGACCCCAAGCTATGCACAAATAAAATTTGATAAGAGTTATGATTATGGAAGTTAACACCCTAAGACATTGGTTCCTCTTGACAAGTTTCTTTTGACTGGCTTCTTCTACTTTACCCTATTTCTTCATACATGTTTATGTTAATAAAGCTTTCTTATCAAAAGAGGTGTCTTTTGATATTATTATAAACTAGAGGTTACCAAAGGATATACATCTACGTGATTTAGCTAGCATCCTTTTCTAGCGTGTCCTTCTAAGTATTTTTTTTTTTAATATCAACTGGATACAATATTCCAAGTGTGGTCTTGGAATATGGAATATGGTGTTTGGGGCACTGTGGTGGAGTGGCTTTCAAATTTCATTGTGTTTGTGGAATGCAATGACAATAAAGGTAAAATTCTAAATTCTAAATTAGGGCACCAGACTTTCCTTTGCTGTCTTTCTTGCAAGCCCAGGAAGGTTGCACAAGGTTGCCATCCATCTGGTTGCCCTCCAGATTATGGTGTTGTCTTTCCACAGCACCCCCTACCCCTTCCCCTGAGATCTGGGGGGGGGGGAATGTCCTGCTGGGCCTAGAGGTGCTTGGTTGGGCCCCAGTGGAACAGCCCAGATGGGCATTTTTCCTAGCATCTGTAGATCTCCAAAGAGCCTTTCAGAAAGAGAGCTCCCTTGGAAAACGACTTCACCTCCACGCATAGTAAGTAGCCTTCTCTGAGTTCTCAGGAAAAAAAAAAAAGTGGACTTTAAAAGAAAATGCATGCGATGTTCAGCGGGAAACAAACATTACACCCGGGAAAACAACGAATTGCATTTAAGCATCTTGTTTGGAAGTTAGTTTTTTCTCTCTCTCTCTCTCTCCATTCTTTGCAGCGCTTTTACGCCGTAGTTTTTAAGGCACGGCTTTTGTTCTTCTTTCTAAAGTTTCGTAAGCAAAACTCTCTCTTTCTTTTCCTCAATGGGACTCAGCAGCCAATGAGATTCTCCCTCCACCCCGGATTCACGCCACTGAAGACTCCATGACATCACGGGTCGGGTCACCACAAGGTGTTCGGTTGCCAGGCGACGAAGGAACACCGAGATCGCGCGCAAGGAGCAAAAAAAAAAAAAAAAAAAAGAACCCCCAAACCCTCCAGGTGTGAAGATTGCAATACGGTTAAAAAGGTATAAACGAGCGGTTGCAAGAGAGGCAGGTTTCCTTCCCAGCCTGGTCTTTTTCAGAAGTTGCAGAAAGCGATCAGCCTACGAGTTTCTTTCCGCCTGGAGGAATCAGAGCGCAAAGGAGGCTAATTTGAAGGTCTCGAGTAGCTTCGTTCCTTCCGAATGAATTCTGAGTTCTAAAAGGTTCCGAAAAGGAGAATATTCATTGGGGTGTTAGATTCTTCGGATCAAAAAGCTGACCAAGTATTTTTCGTCATTAATTCTATCGTGGGAACCTGGGAAGTTGCTCCTTGCAACATTTTGGGAAGACTTTTTTTTCTTCCTTGCTGAGTTTTATCTGGGTGGCAAATATATTTCTAGATTAGAGAGTGCCCTTTCATAGTTCTTTTCCAACAAGAGATGATGATTGATCACGATGATATGATATCCCTTCAGTTTCTATCCAACCTGACGATTCTATGGGCCAGCTGCCCATATTTTTTTTTAAAAAATGACACTGGGCACTGCAGCAAAAAATTACAAATGGAATAGACAGCAGATGAAATAAAACAGCAACAAAGCAGCCATCAATACAATACCATGGACTGTATTTGCAGTCAAATTCTCTGGTTTTCTTTTTTTTACACTTTTTTGCAAAGGTCGTAGATTTCTTTGTCCATCACTCTGGGTGACATGATAGCAGTCTTCCAATATATTTGAGGGGCTGCCCCAAAGGAGAGGGAGGTCAACCTATTTTCCAAAGCACCCAAAGGCCAGACCAGGAACAATGGATGGAAACTGATCCAGGAGAGATTCAGCCTGGAAATAAGGAGAAATTTCATGACAGTGAGCACAATCAATGCAATGTCTTGACTTCGGAATTTGTGGGCTATCCAACATTGAAGGGTTTTAAGAAGAGATTGGACAGCTATTTGTTCAGAATTGTATAGGGGGTTGGACTAGAAGACATCCAATGTGCCTCTCAACTCTCTTATTCAATTATTCTTGTGAATTTTGATTCTTCTACTTGTTGAGTATAGGTCTGTTATTTTAGGGTCATGGGTGTCAAACTCATGGTGTCATGTTGTCATCATGTGATGTTTCATGGAACTGGGGTGGACATGGCCTGCATGTGATGCATCTGGCCTATGGGACACCCCTGGTTTAGATGATGATTTATGGGAGGTACAAAAAGAAATGCTATTCTTTGAAAATGGTGTCCAGCATAATGTCTTCTCCATAAAAACAAGTGAAGGCATGTAATTAGGACCTAGATTCATTCTAAGGGCTGTCCTGAAAACAGTTTATTTTGTTTGTTTTATTTTGTTTTCCTGTAAACAGAGATCCTGATACTTCATCCAGCCCCTTGGATCGATGCAGAGTGAAAGGCAAACGATGGGAATGGACGCCAAATATTTCAAGGAAAACCTCGGAATGTGCTTGGCTGAAGGACTTGCAGAGGTGGCGGATCGCCGACCAATAGACCCCATCCGTTTCCTGGCCTCCTGGATTTACAACTATAATGAAAATAGAAAGAAAGAAGAAAAGGTGATACACTTGAAAAAAAAAAACAAATTTGAAGAAAGCTTGTCTCAACAATGATCAAATCAAATCGTCTTCTCCTCCCAATTTTCCTACCCCTTGTCCTCTTCTAGAAAAAGAGAGAAAAGGACCACCTAGAACTTCATTATGAAGAACTTCTTGCAGAGTTGGAGAATACAGAAAAGCTGAAGGCAGAAGAACTTCTGATGGCCCCCAAATCTGAAGAGCAGCAGAAGGTCTGGTTCTCTTAATTTTACACTAGAGTACACCACAATACAGTGGCCCCCATTTGGCTCATTGGTGTAATGAGAAAAATTGTTGGGAGCAGTTGTAAAAAAAACATATTAAAAAAAGTGTCTACTTAGAGGGTGGATGGATGCTAGATGGCTGAAGTAAACTGAATGCAGTTTTATTCTATAAAGGATCTTTTCCAAGAGCAAACAGAAGATACTCCTGAAAAATTAATGGAAATAGGTGGAGCATTGAGAGAAGAGGTGACTGATGAGAAGGCAGATGAAGTGAGTACCTATTTTAACAAATGCACTTGACATACTATTACTAACAGCAAAATCGGGCCTTTTAAATTCACATTAAAATGGTTTTTACCTACTGGAAGTCTCCTACACCCTTTGTTTTGAGGTTCTTCACAAGTTCAGAGAACTGGGAGAGGTTAAGGACACCAGGTAAAACATGGAGCATTTCATTCAGGAGGATTTACAGATATACAGATGAACAGAGTTGGGAGGAGCCTTGTAGGTCATTTAGCATTGTTGCTTTCTTGCCTTGATGGATAAATCCATTCAGTTCTAAAACTCTGTATAGAATCTGCAACTTAGATTTTGTGCAAGCTTAGTTCTTGTTCTTATTTTGAAGAAATGGAATCGGTCTTGTTTAAGCCTAGGGTGATGGAATATCTAGCAGTCTTTGAGAACATAGAGGAGGGCCATTACAGAAAATATTTCTTGTTCCAAAATAGGAAAAAAGCATGAGAAAGAGGCTCATAGCAATCCTGCCTTGATTACACTGGGTGTAAATGGAGCTGGACAATTGTTTTGGAGGCTTTCTAGATTGTTGTAAAGCCCTTCAAGATTTTTAGGTAGGAATTAAAAAAACCACTTGGATTTCTAGAGTGATCTTGTTTGCTAGTGGGGTAATGTAGCAGAATCTTAAAAAGCTAGACTAATAAAGATTGGGTTGAGAAGAGGGATTTTAATAACGTATTCATGTAGATGAAACTAATTTTCAATCATAGACAACAACTGGAGAAAAGGTTGGAAACATGCCAGAAGAATATGAAACTAAGTCAATGCAAGAGAGGTTAGAAAACAGAGTAGATCAGGATGACTTCAATGTTGAGATAAATGAGTTGGATGAACAACCAGGCCAGGTAAGTCCTAGTTTAATGCTCCAGGAAGCCTTGTTGGGAACTGCTGCAGATGAAGATTTAAATCCCAAAGCCTTGGATGACAAAGGCGAAGACCAGTTGGAACAAGACATAGCAGCTGAGAAGGAGAATGAAGTACAAGCTGAAGGTGACACTCAGGATGAGAACGACACATCTGCTCAGGATGGGAATTTGGAGTAATTCCATAATTCATGTATACTTGGAAGAAGATCCTGCTGTCTTCAAAAGGCTTTGTGCGTCAATATTGCTTTAGAAAATCAAACCTCATCTTAAGATATAACATCCTCTTTCTTTGGTATAGTATTGCACATTGTATAATTTTCTCATATATTGTTTATGCCACTGTCAGCCAGATGGGGTCGCTAAAGTTTAATAATCCAGGAATTCATCATTTCACCCCTTGCTCTAATCTGCTAAACTAGAGAACCTGCAGTTATAAAGATATTTGCAAAAAGTGTCTTAAAACAGATAAGATGGCATAAGCTGCAAATCTAAATCATCAGGCATAGCTTAACCAATATAGGTTGTTTACCCGTCAGCTTCCTTGAGGAGACTTTGTATTAGCTGAGCTGTAAAATATATGTATATACATATATATTTAATTCCAAAATATTTGTAGGAAGATATGAAAGTCCCAGGGCAAATACGGTATATGAGCACCAAGATTGATCATTTATTCCTAGATTTGCTGATTGATGGTCTTACAAGTGTTGAAAATGTAAGAATGGTTTGGTGTATGTTTCACTCAGTATAAGAAAAGCTTTATCTGATATTGTTTTTAAGAATTTTTAGTCTTCTGGATAACTTGGTGCAGTTGGTCCATCTTCCTTCGTATCCATTAGTCAATCATGGTATAAAACTGATCCCTGTATGATTTTGGCACCTTTTTTTCCCAAGCCAAAAAATATTTCATACTTTGGTATATCAGTATGAATAGCTTGTTTTTCAACAGGAATTAATCTAACTTTGACACAATTTCATTTTGTATCTAATTGACAATTGTACCCATCAAGAGAAAGTAACACTTATAAACTGAGGTGTTTTGTAAAACACTTTCTTCTTTTGTTGTGCAAAATGGATACAACCAATCTGTAGAAACATCAACCTGTCTAAGTCCAGCCTAGTGTCTTGTGGGTTTTTCCACTCTCAATTTCACAGTTTAGCTCGTATCTTTCGGCTATTAACAAGGTGCAATCCATGTTTTGTTTTCAAAATCCGGTAAGAATATAATCCAATCAAGAGTGAATTGATGTGAAGCTTTGTGCATACACTGCACTTCAGTACTCAAAACAGTATCCACTATTTCATTAAATTCCAAACATTTCCCCCACATTTGGAAGATGTTGATCAGACACCGAACAGCCTGAGGAAACACTGTTATTTGGATCACAGTGCTGGATGTTGAAAACATCTGTCTTTGAGGTATGTCTCCAAACTTGGTTACTGTTGATAATGTTGCATGCCAATGTCACCATTCTTTCCAAGAAAACTGCATGGGCTTAGGAGTTGAAGCTGCTTACTTTGCACCAGTTTAGGGATGATAATGCTTTGCCCTTCACGCACTCTCGTCTTTTTCCCAGGCTTTTACTGGCTTATTTGCCCAGAGATGGCCCAACTCACCAATGTCAGGCACAAAAGGACTTGTCTGGCCAGAGTTGAATTTAGAAATTCAAATGCAGGAAAATACTGGAGATTGATACAGACATGGGTGGAACAAATGGTGGGAGAGCATTTAAACCAGAATTATTTCTCTTGGGAATGACAGGTTATAGGAAAGGTGTAGCATATTTAATAATACATGTAGTCTGCGGCGAGAATGATATACACACAACATTGGAAGAATGAAATCATACCACCAGAAAGAGAGATCATAAGGAAAATAATGGCTTGTGCAGAATCGGATAGGCTAACCTTAGAATTGAAAAATAAGGGGGAATCAGATTATTATGAATCGTGGAATAAGTTTTATCAGTGGTTGCAAAAGAGAAGGGAAGGTTGGAACAGAAATAACCAGGATGAATAGAATTAAGTAAATAATGTATCAATAATATGTTAATGGTCTAGTAATATTTTTGCATGTATGGCAAATATAACGCCAAAACGGTTGCACTGTGTTGTACACTTAATGGTTGTAAATAATAAAAAATATATAAGCAAAAAAAAAATCTTAATCCACGTCTGCTGAGGTTAGATGCTCTTTGCACTCTTTGGAGGGATAAACACCCTCTATGAATGGTTGCTTAATCTCTCCAACCAGATAAAAGCAAGAGGATATACAAATTCAGTATAGAAATTGCAACTTTTTTTTGCAATCCGAAACATGCAGGTCTTCATGTGCGCGTGCGCAAGGATTCAAACTCGAGCACTTGGCAATCGCCTAGCGGCGGGAAAACGCTCCTTCTGCGCAGGCGCACGGCGGGGAAAGCGAAGGCCCGTTTTCTGAAATTATGGCGGGCGCCGCCACTTGCTTTGCCGAGACGCGGGTGGGGCAGGTGGTCATGCCGGGGGAAGCGTTGCTCTTGCCCGGCCAGGGCGTGGTGGACGGCGAGCGGCTGCGCCTGACTACGAGCGGGCCGCAGAAGGGGCGGTTGGTTTGCGGGCCGGGCTTGAGACGCGGCGCCGACGGCCTGCTAGTCACCAAATGCGGCCTGCTACGGTACCGTAGCCATTCCGCCCCGACCGGAAGTGGGAGCGGAAGTAGTTCCGGGGGAACCTATTGGGTGGACTCACAACAGAAACGGGTAAGAAGGCCGCGCGTGCGCAGTTCGGGGTCTTCCTCTACTGGCAGCCCCAGTTATCTGCAGATGAGAGCCTGGCTGTGCTATGAAAACGGAGGAAGAGAATAAAATATACACAGCAATTTTGTGTTAAATTAATTATATTAAATTATAAATTATAATGATATTTAAAGCATATACACTCATATTGTGACATATATGGTTATATAAAATGTAGTTTATATAAAATATGTAACTGATATAAATTTATATATTTAATTTTTTTATAAATGTATAACTGATATCAACATATTAAATTATATACAAACACAGATACTCATAAAGATAGAGATGGATGGATACATAGATTGTCTGTCTGTCTATGTGTCTATATCCATCCATCTCTATCATTGTCCTATCTATCTACCTATCTCTATCATCTATCATCTACTATTATCTACCATCTACCATATGTCATCTTTCATCTACCTGTCTGTCTGTCTGTCTGTCTACCTACCTACCCATCCATCCATCCATTCATCTATCCATCCATATCTTGCTGTCTATCTATCTATCTATCTATCTATCTATCTATCTATCTATCTATCC